CGCACGGCGTCCGAGTGGAGGTTCTGCCATATCGATATGCCGACCAGAGGCGCGCACTCCTTCCGCACAAGACCGCTGTCTAGTGATTGAAAGGCGCCGATGACGAAGGACACGAGCTGTGTGCGGATCTTACTCGGCTGGGACGGGTCTACGGTCATGGACAGTATGCGGCGGAAGAAGGAGGAGAATTCGGCGGGCTTGCTAGCAAAGTGGTCTATATAACGTCAGTACATGTCGTGCATACTAGGAATTGCAGCGACTCACCCCATGATGCCAGGTTCTCCCTCCTCTTGACATTGACCATAAGCGCCAACAGCAGATGGTGGTAGTTCGATGCATCTTCGGTGAAGCCCGGCCACAGATATCTCTCGAGAAGCTGTAGGTTCTCCAGAATCAAAAGCGACGAGTATGCGAAGTCGACGTTCTCCAGCTCGTCCCATAGCTCTTTCTTGACCACTTCGGGTCGCACTTTCGGCGTCTTCTTGGCAGTGAGCCAGTTCTTCCTCGCTACCTGCGCGAAATGGTTCTCTCCGTGCAAGTCGGCGACAGTTGGGCGGGCGTGTGCGTTGGACGAGTCGGTCGCATGCGCAGCGGACGCGCCGTCGAGGCCATTTGACATTGACAAGCCCGTGGGCTTGACGTCCTCCATGTCGTCCACTTTCATAGCCATGATCGCAATCGGGGTCGTTGTTGGGCGCACGTGAAGGGGCCGGCGCGCATTGTTGGCGCACGAAGTTGGTCGATGGGTGATGGGGTGTGACGCGCCAAGGAAATAAAAGTAGAGAGAATGGCGTCGCGGGAGCTCTGAGCCACTAGGCCAAAGCCCGCATGCGGCACTTGCCGCCCGTGTGAACCTCACTTCGCGATCCCGCCCAGACATCTCCGCAGTAGAGTCCCCAACACCACCATGTCTGCTCAGGACGCCTATGTCAGGCACCAGGCCGTTGTGCCGGACAAGATCCCTACTGGAGAGTATCCTGTGAGTCAATTGCAGCGCGAAAAGATGCGCAATGGGTGGTGGTAGCTAATGCATGGCAGCTCATCGACAATGACCCGTACGCTCCTCTACGATACCCAACGCATGCAAGTACTGACTGCAGATGAAGACACTTTAAGCGAGTTATTCGGTATGCCCGTCCGTCCGACTGGGCGCAAGGTGCCGCGCTCGGAGCCTTGAGCCCCGGATTGATGATGTACTGGGAGAAGATCTCGCCCTCCATGGTCGGCAAGGGCGGTTTCGCCCCCATCATGCGACTGAGCGGTGCTGTCGGTCTTACCGGAGCCTTCGTTTTCGTCTACTCGAGGTCATGCAGTATGTGGAGCCAGTCCGGATATAGAGAAGATGGGATTGGATGCTAACATCCACGACAGTGCGCTTCTACGGTGCCCGCGAGAACCGCCGCGAGGTCGAGATGGACATGCGCGAGATGGTCGACAAGGTCAAGAAGGGCGAGTCGCTGTACGGAACCACAGAGATGACCGAGTACATGCAGGGAGTTGCGCACAGGAACTCGCGTTACTCCTCCACATTTTCGCACATCCTCGCATGGCCTAACTTTGTCAACCACCCTTACCACGGCGTGGACACTGCCAAGTACTACCGCCAGGCTGAGTTGGAGCTGGAACAGGAGGGGGGTGGTCGGTAAACGATTGATACAAGAGAAGAGAATGGTTTCCTTATAGTGCGGGTGTACATAAGTTCTGATGAACCAGACATCAAGTTTCAGCACACTACTTTTGGCCGTTGAGAACTGTTCCACACAAACACGACTAGTGATATCCGCGCAGTAACACGATATCTCGATACTTTCTATTTCTTTGATCTGCCCTGACTCCCATCCTTAGTTTACAGCCAACCCCTTCAGCACATTCTCTTTTCCAAAACGCCGCATCTTGAACTTGCTAATCCAATCATCCCTATTGATGTACGCTCCACAGATCCTGCGCTTCCCTGTGAAGCTACTCCGTCCATGCAGCACCCTCCAGTTGTCGAAGATGAGCACTCTACCCGGCACAAGCTGTTCCCAGTACTCATTCTCCTTCTTCTTGAGTATCGCGTCAAATTTTCGAGCTGCGTCGTACCACGTCTCAACTTCTTCTATAGGAAGCTCAATGGACGCTCTATCTGACGTGTTCCACCGGACGCGGAGCAAGTCGCCCGTAGCAGTGTCGTGCTCAAGGACGGGGAAGCCACGGTAGGGTTGTATTGAAATGCCTTCGTTGCCTGAGGCGTGTCCATGAACATTGACCGTTGAGAGAATCTCATATGCTTTGCGGTCGGTGTGCCAGAGTTCGTCCGCAGCTTTGAAGCCGTCGACAAGAAGACTTGCACCGCCTTCACCGTCGGTGTGGGAAAGGAGGTGGAAAGCCTGTAGGCCGGCTGGGTCGGAGAAGTAGGTAGTGTCTGTATGTGCTTCTAGTGCGATGTTGGTGTATGCGGTATCCTTGCTCGCTAGGTCGGCCGTGAAGTCGTAGAAGCCGCCGTAGTGCGTTTCCCTAATAAAGGCAATTTTTTCCAGCATCTTCTTCGTGGCCTCTGGGTTCTCGAAAGACGTCTCATCGACGTAGCAGAATCCGAATCTGCGCAGCCTGGAAAGTAGGTCGTTGCTGTTAGGATTCATCACGTTAACATACAGAGTCTTTGGTGGGTCCGAAGCGATGGATGAGTCCCAGAGTTTGATGTCGACCAAAGCTTGACGTTGTACGGCCTTCAACCTCGCGTTGTTTATAGCTTGGGAGAGAAAAGGCCCCGAGTATTCGCTTTCATGTCCATCACTCCATTCAATTCTGTGAACCGTCTCAGACCCTCTTGTTTCAGCCGAGTACGACTTGATCGAGATGTCCTCGGGGATGGAAAATGTATCCAGAAGTCGTTGCTTGGTGGCGTCATGCGTGCAAACTTTGCATTGACAATTGTCCCGCAACCAGATGCTTGGTATTAGTCTATCGACAAGGAACATCTTCCCGTCTCGGACTTCAGGGTGCGTCTCGGACTCGGCGCGCTTGTTGAACGCAAAAGGTGTAGCCCCAATTCGCACTCTATATGGGCTTACTTTCCGGATGATGCGTTGTCGACCATATATCCGATCAAGCTCATGGGCAAGTTTCTTAATCTCAAAGTGTAGTCGCCTGGCTTTGTTCATGTTCTCTACACCAAGGGAGGCGTCGAGACCAGGTGTTTCTGGAACCCGCCGTTCAACCTCCTCCTGTTGCGGAGCATCTGTTTGTTTCTCATCTTGCGTACTTTGCTCATTGGCCGTATCAACGGCGGATGACGAGTTTAAGCGAATTGACGCCTAGCATTTTGGTTAGTACTGTAAAAAATGCGGTGTGTCCAGACCAACCTGTAGATATGGTGGGTGAAGCGCGGCACGTCGGGCGATAGGTGTGGCATGAGCGCACCGGAGTGCTCTTGCCGTAAACATGACACAGATTTGTCAAGCACGAAAGGGAATCAATCAGAATCGCTACACACGAGATACCAAACTCAATAGCATGTAGTGCAGCAAAAGAATGTGGTGGGTTGGTGATACCTAGGTAAGGAGATTCGGATGTCAGGAGCTTAGTATGGCAAGAGCGCTCTCTAACCACCGAACGCGACCTCGGATCTTTGCACCACAACTTGAACGAGGAAGGTTCGCCCAGTCATAGGTTTAAGACTATACTAGAATTGGGCTAGCGTGAATTCCAGTGAGTGGCCTCGTTGGCATGCCTCACGATCCGAAGAGCGAATTCTGACAAGGTGGGAACAAAGGCAAAAAGATGCAGAAAGACGCAAAAAGAAGCCGACCAGAGGACGGCAAAAAGAACGACACCTGTGGGACTCGAAAGCCCTACGAACACGACTTCAAGGAGCTACAACCTTGCACCGCTGGCCGCAATGTTTTCACGTGCCATGGCACGTGCGCGGACGAGCGCCAAGCGTTGCTTACAACATCACCTGGGCATCCCATGCCACGTTAGTCGCGTATGAGCACCATCATCAACCATGCTCGACATCTTGTTGTGTTCGCGCTCGTATTTTGATGATTCGATTGCCACATCTTTGAGTAGTACTTTGTGTAATTATGCTCGACGACCATCCTCGCTATGCTCAATCGCCACCATCGCCACGCCGCCAACGATACCTAGGTACTGTTCACAAAAAACTGCTTTCCATGCACCATCGTGCCCATACAGTATCTCACATCAAGCTCTCACACAGCCGACGGGGTAAATGCCTGCCTGTGAGATGAGATCCCTGTCCTGATATGCTAAGGAGGATACCATTCACCCCAAAGGTCGCCCAAGACAACCTTGCGCTAGGAACTGGAATGATAAGTCGCGACACCAACAAAGTGAACGAAATGCACATCTTCTCTAGCTAGCCTGTGGCATATGTCCAACGCGCGCCTTGTACCTCTCCAGATTGCGCATGAGCGTGTCTCCATGTCCGAGTAGCACCATGAAGTCATCAAAGTACAGGACGGCAAAAGTACTTTCCGGTATAGTACATGGAGCTTCCGTGCAGTCTATGGTTGAGTAACCGCGATGCCAACACGACGAAGTTATCATGGACAGAGTGATACGACTGCGGGCTATTAACACGGATGCCAGCTTACAAGAATGCAAGGTTACGAGAACGCGGTGTCGGAGCTGGCGGTGGGAAAGTCGGGGAATGGCGGTGACGGCGAGGTGAGAGAAGCGCTGTAGCCTATTGTCAGAATTGATCAAATTTCCGTCTCTGCCACGTGGGGCAGCAATATATCATCCCCATTACCTTCACTCTTCTACACCAACCTCTAGACTGACTCTCTTCTGCGATAATAGTTGAAGCCATCTCTCACCCTTCGCGACTTCTTCGCGATACCTTTACTGTGACCTACGACCGCGCGGACGACCCTGGTCACTGACCCGACGCCTGTGGTGCGCGCATCATCCTTGAGAAGCGCCCGGGTGTAAGCATTTCAACCTGGTTCCTTGACAGAGCGCTAACGAAAACAGGTTTCCATATCATCAGCATGGCTGCTAGCGAAGACGAAAACATTGTGACGACAGCCACATCATCCACAAAGCTGACGGGACGCCGGCGAATTACCAAGCAACCACCCCTCGAGAAGGGCAAGCCGAAAGACCCCGCCTCCTTCATCAACGTGGAAGGCCCCGAAGCCACAATCGCGGCATACTGTAATATCGATGACGTCGGCCGGTTCAGGAAATTCTATACCAGCCCGCTGGTCATGCCTTACTACCTCAAAGCGATGGAGTATAAGGGCCACCACCGCCGCACGGTGCTGTCGTTACTAGAAGATCTTCCTTATGACCAGTACTGGAGCAGTGACGACGACGCTCACGTTGTTTATCCCGCTGGCGACACAAGTATCCGGGCGAACAACCGCAACCATGGACTTGGCCTAGTCCTTTGGCAATGCTTACGCGCCATTCGAAAAGGTCTTTCGGCTGAGACGCCCGCGATTGACGTACAACAGTTCGTCAAGCTTACAAGTTGCAAACTGCCAACCACGACAACACCCCTAACGGCTGGAGAGGTGCCGTCGCTTGGTCCCTTCACTGCAGAAGTTGACATCGAGCCATTGAATCGTGTGTTGTGTTTGTTCAGCCACATGAAACACACTCTGTCCCCCTCGCAATGGGAAAAGCGGTTCTTCGGCAAGTCTGATTGGGATGCTCCACGGAAGATCACAAGCGAATATCAGCCCCCTTGGATGCGCACACATACCGAAATCGAGGCAGAGGCGCCAGACGAGTCGTCTGGACCACCACCGGAAGTGCCCCTTGAGCTAAGAATCCAGTGGAGAGCCGACTCCAAGCAAAAGCACAACATCGCATATGTGAAGGAACTTCACGAGCAGGAAACTTTCGACGAGATTCCAAAGAATGTCGTTGTTACGGTCCTTCAGTCGATGAGTGCGCCGGAAGTGCGGGACCGGATCCGCCTTGCCTTCAGGCTTCACGACTACGATGGTCAATTGGAGTCGGTGACATACCAGGATGACGAGAACTCGTTTCCGACCCTTGAGACGGACTGGAAAAAGGCACTGGAGCTCCTTACGAAGAACCCGAAGGCTACCTTTACTTGTCTGCTGCGGCAACGTCACGACGGAGCCAATGCTTGGGAGCACAGTGGACCGCCCGCTGTTTTGGCCACCTTCCTACAAAATAAGCATGGTCAAGTCGCACCAAGATACAAACTATCCGAAGAGCAGAAGGCCGATGTACGCACTGCCATTTTTCAGATGACAGTGCACAAACTGGAAACTCCTTTCGATCCCTTGAAGATTTTCAACAACGACCTAGCACGAATGGCGAAGGCCTACGGTGGTCATGACGTCACTAAACCCGGAGGTATGCTTACTTGGCAAACTGATATGATTCTCCCGCTCGTCAACGTGCAACCTGTTGTTCACGTTGAAGATACCAAGATGAAGGCTTTTCGGAGGTTCAGTAAAGCTCAGCAGGCACTCCTCAGTGCAGCAGCTGAGGATGGAGCTATGCAAACGATCGACATGGAACAGCCTGAGGAAGAGGAATACGAAGCAGCAAAAGCTCGCTACTACGCCTACCAGACCGCTATGGGAGGGACTTCAACTTGCGTAGGGCCCCCGATAGAGACAGCTGTACGGGCACTAGACATGGTGCGCGAAGATGAGGAAGGAGAGGAAGCGTACGCCTTCAAAGCATTTACCACAGCGCAAGTGAAGCGGAGGCTACGACCGTTTCAGGTCAACGGCGCATCGTGGTGCATCAGTACCTTATGGCCGGAAACTACTTCCGGTAAAAGCAGCGATGCTATAGCCGCCGGATCCGAACTGAAGCGACTCAACTTGCCTGGTATTATCATCGCAGATCAAACTGGAAATGGCAAAACGATCCTCTCATTAGCCGTCATGACTGCATGCCTTCGCCCGTGCGCGTTCGAAAGGGGTTCTGGGAGGGCCATCTACAAGCCGATCTTCATCGCGGCCCCGCAGAACCTAATACGTCAGTGGGCTAGAGAGATCAAATTCGAGTGGCCCTTATTCGAGTTAGTCATATCGTATGATGACGGCCAAATGGAGGCTGCTCTTGCAGAACATGTGGTATCTTCGTCAGCTGTACGAACTTGGAAGGAAGACACCACTCTTTGGCCCGAAAATCTAGCGTATATGCTGGACCCTTTTGACGAACGAAATTCGAGGACTATAGTGCTGACCACGCCTGAGACAAACGCGGAACGGTCGCTGGTGAAGACCGAGATCGAGCACCCACCTGTCTCTTACACTAAGCCCAAGTTTGACAGCGACGGCAATGAGATTTACTTTCAAAAAGCCAGAATCGAGAAGCGGTATCACTCTCGGTGGGAAAAGACGTTCTCGGTCGTGATCGTCGACGAAGCCACCAAGATAAAGAGCCCAGCAAGCATGAGGCACATTGCCATCCAGCGACTGAAAGCCAACCGATGGGTGTTCGTGACTGCCACACCCATGATTAACAAGGGAACCTGCATCCTAGGGCCCATGGCGATCATATGGGAAACACTGAAAGATCGCATCTCGCAGCAAAACGATACCGAAGAAACCAAATGGTTCAGGGAACAGCTACCTGATATCTCTGTCTACAACAAAGCCAACGACCTCGAAGACGACGATCCGCATAGACTAGGGGTCCTCAACCCATATTCTGCGAAACTACTGCTCGAATCAGAGAATATGCCCCTTGTAGCTACATGCTTCCCGCTCATCGAACAGCTGATGGTGCTTCGTCGCACCACAGCCTCACGCATTCCACGCGACCCGTCCCGAAAGGACTTTTACAGTCTCCGTGATTTGATTAAGCCTCATCATATGCGGACACGTGTCCTCGCCCGACTGCCAGAGGAAGAAGCAGAGTTTGAATGGCTTCACCGTGACGCAGCACAGTAAGTGGAGCTTGTGGTCTTGTTTTGAGTGTTTGTTGCTGATTAAATCTTCCAGGCGATATCTCGAAGCAAAGTCGTCCGCCGACAAGACTACCGAAGAAGACCCCGGCTCATCTCTGGTGGATGAGAAACTCGTTTTCGGCACGGCGGAGATGAGGGAGTTAGTCATCATCACTGGCTCGACTCAAGCAGCGAAATTTAACCTCATATGCGGAGACTTGGATTCCGATACGCTCGTCAAGACCCTCGACGCGCACCGACTCCGTGGTTGGACGGCCTTTGACGTAACCAAATTTATGTGCAAAGCCAGTAACCAACGCGTCCCAACGACAGTAGCTGGATACGCAGCTTTCATGATGGACGGCTCGCCCATGCTGAGAGGTCTTGTTCACGAGGTCGTAACCCATGTTAGAGACGGCAGACCCGGTAAGATCTTAGTTACCGAGGACAGCCCTCTTCTCGCGTGGTGGTGGGATCTCACGCTCAACCTCATCGGCGTGAAAACCCTCACGTTTCACAGCGCCCTCTCTGCGGCCGATAGAGACAACTTGATTGATCGCTTCAACTCTCCTAAGGATGATCTCCAAGTCATGGTGCTTCCTTACCGCGTAGGAGCGCTAGGGATAAACCTCCAACGTGACTGCTCCGACGTCAAGGTGATGTCGTGTGCGGAGAACCAAGGAACAGAGACGCAGGCCACCATGCGTCCGATTAGGGTGAGTGGATCAGAGAAAAGTACTTTCCGCCTAAGAGTCTGCTGCTAACCATCCCTTAGATGAACTCTCCGAGGGAAGTAACGATCACCAAGATGTTTGTACAGAATTCCCTCTGCGCATATCGAGAGTCCAAGAAATCGGACAAATATATTGTCGAGTTGGCCACACGAGCCCAAGATCCAGAAATCCGAGCGCTTGCAGTACAGGTGTTAAACGAGTATCATCTGGAAGTGCGAGCTGCCCAAGACGACCCTGAGAACCAAGATTTGTTGCAAATGCTTCTCCACGAGAGGACTGTTCGGGAACAGCAGCGCCGAGACGAGAAGGAAGCGCAATCGGGCGCTCAAGCTGTAGCCGACCACAACCGCGACGTTGATGCCGAAAACATCATCCAGCCTGGTACCAAGCGGGAGAGGAAACGACCCGAGCGTTTTGAGGATCTGAAGTGGTCTGAAGGCGGTGCCAGGGTGGGCACGATGACTGAAGCAGAGCGAGAGGCCCAAGAGGCGATGCTGGCTGAGTTGGACCTTGACGAAAACGACTTCCCGTCTAGTTCCAGGTCTGGAAGAGACGACTGGGTTCACGATCTCGACCTGGCGGACGTGGCGACCGACTCAGTCTTTCAAGTATCAGACGATGAAGAGGACGAAGATACCGGCACCTGGCGGCCGATCACAGAAAAACAGCGGGCTAGACTCGAAGCAAAGGCTGCAAGGCAAGCTCGGCCCGAAATGACAGAAGCTGTCAGGCAGCTCGCTGAAAAGCTGCTCGATGATTACGACCGTGTTTACGGCGAGGACGACCTGAAGAAGGATTACCTACTAACACGTGCTCTCCGGCTCATTCACAGCAAGAAAACAGGGCTGCCGTTTGACTCTGTTCAAACCGTGCACATAAAAGTAAGTGACAGAAAGCTCTTTTCATGTATACCGCTCCTAACCAGACTAGTACACTCGCTTCAACGATGATATCGCTCCACCCATCGACATCAAGAAGGCCGCACGGCCGATGCTCGTACATTTGCTGAGTGGCGGCCGGGAACAAGACTTCAAGGAGGAGAAGAAGAAGGGCAAGAAGAAGAGGCAGTCGGAGGGTCAGACACAGCCTGCATCTAGCAAGCGGGTCGCTTCCGGTGGAAAGTGATTGTCTTTCAAGCGTTGTGTTTTTGAGTTTCCACGCTGCGGAAGCACAGCTTTCGGCCCAGGGTAGATATCTTCATTGTCTGGAGGATCCGCCTATCGAAGGGAAGCCCTGGTTCTCTCATAGTCTTTCACATACGATTGACTTCTAGTAACGGAAGAACCTGAGCTTCTACCTGACACCACAATCGATCTCCCTTGTCATGTGCGAACCTCAGGTATCGTTGCCACACAGTGCCTATTTTCTACAACACCTCGTAGTCACCTCTAACTCTCCCCTTGAACTCACATTGCTGACGGAAAGGGCTTTTAGGTACCAATCAGACCTCGTCGCTCAAGCTGTCCTGCGCAATCTTCTTGCCCAATGTCCGACGCCTGCGACCGCGCGTATGATCGTGGTCTCCGTCGTCCCTGTGTATCTCTTCATCTCTCTCTGCGCATCGCGTCTTGCGCTTCTTCTTGTGGGCGACAACATTTCCCTCCTCGTCCGCCTCCTCGTCCGCTTCCTCATCTGCTTCTTCGTGCTCTTCGCCGCCGTCAGGTGTATCCACTGGATCTTCCGGGTTTGCGCTTCTGGATTGACTAAGGCTGCGCCTGGCGTCCGCGGAACGTATTTCCAACAGTACCGCTCGGATTACAGACGACGTTTGGGCTAAGGCAACGGGGAAATCCTCAGCCTGACGCATCCCCTCAACTGCCGCGGTCTGGGCGTCATCCGATAGCTCAGGCCCTAGCAGATTGTGGTTTTGAGCTTGCTCTTGTACGTATGTCCGGACGTCTTTGCGCTGTGCAGTGGAGAAGGTGCTAGGCCAGAGCTGTTCTTCAGCGCTGCGCTTTGGAAAAGTCAGTGCCCATCGACTCAGGCGATGTCTTATGGCACAAGCGACAATGTCGATTTCCTTGGAAAGCGGTTTCGTCTTCTCTTCGGTCTCGTTGGGTCCGGATGATTGGGTATCAGTCTCTTCAGGCAGGACGCTAATACCCCAGCTGGCAAACAACGGTGTCAACTCAGCAGCAGCTCGGATTTCAGGCAACGCTTCGGCGAGAAACATGCGTAATGCAGTGATGTTCTCACCTGCCTCGCTCGATGTCACCACCTGCTCCAGAGTCCTGAGTAGAGTCTGGACGAACAAATACAGGGGCTGTAGGACGTCCGAAAGGTCTTTCGAGGTGCTCTTTGCTCGAAAATCTGCTCCGGGACTGTAGCGGAGTTCGTGCAAGCATGTCAAGGTTGCTTTCGATACCTTTGCCGTAGCGGGTGCTAGAAGGCGCTCTAGTTGAGGGACGGCGGCGACGCCCTTGATGGTATTCAGAGCTGTTGCAGTCACAGCGTTCTCCTCTTCTGCATCATCGGTTCGGTCTGCGGGGGGTAACGCCCCGACACCCTCGGCTTGAATGTCCCACCACTTCCGGTATCGGTTGAGTAGGTCGGGTTTGTTCCCTCCGACTGAAAGTTGCACCCGAGCTATCAGGCATCAGTGAAGAAACAGATGCTGGCATGGCTCGCACTCACCGAGGGCCTCTTTCATGCCATCCTTCTTGAGTTTTCCGAAAGCAGTCGGGTCTAGTGGTTCGTGCTGCATCTTGCCCTGCGAGCGAAAGTCCTTTCGTGCAAGGCTGTGGCTGGTGGGATTTTGAGAGCTAAAGCAGTATCAAGAGGATACTTAATCCGTATTTTTAGTCTGCGAGCTTGAGGTTTGCAGCTGTGGGTGAGGATTGCATGCGCTGGCTGTAGACCAGACGAAAAGTGGGGCCACGATGAGTGAAGGCAACCGCGACCTCGGCGACAGCACTCTTCTTCCAACCACCCCTCTCAGATTGCAGACTGCGCCTTCAACCGCATCATCTCTGCACTCGCTCCGCGACATCACAAAGAGAGTGATACAACTTCCACGATGGCGCCCCCCAAAGCCAAGAAAGCAACGGAAAGGGTCAGAGAGGGATTCGCCAGGCTCGCGGCCAATCCCGACAAGATGGAGGCCATGCGTGAAAACGCCGAGACGTCCAAGTACTTTGACGGCAGCTCTCCCTCGACGCGTAAGTGCCATTCATTTTCCATGTCTTGACACACTTGTGAAGACTATGCCAAAAGTACTTTTACTGAACCAGCGCTATGCAGGGATGAAAAGAGACCAAGTCCGGACCTATTACGAACAATTCGTTGAGACTTGTTACGGCGTCACGGATGTTGACGAAGTTTGGAACCATGATACATTCGTTGCCCGCGCAAAACAGTTTTTAGAAGGTGTCGTCAACGTTGCCATCGGCAAGTTTGAGGAACGTATCAAGACCTCGACGCTCTGGAGTGAGCACCCAGAATGCCGAAAGCGCTTTTCTCTGACGCTGACACTTGTTCTCTAGGTTACAAGCACGCCTTGAATTGGTGGGCCGCCGTTCTCGTCAAAGACTTTGGCGCGATTTGGCATCAATATCACGTTGAAGTTAGTCGTCACATTCATCAACTAGCGGTACAAGAGCCGCTCAGCATCCTGTCATGGAAAAAAAACAATCTCAGCGACAGCGAGCTTGTCTTGATATTCCAGCATATACAAGATCAACGCTACAACGTAGCGAACCTGAAGCAGCATTGGGGTGCGCTCCTACTCGCATGGCTCACAGCGGCAAGACCGGGGTCGTTCACGGTAACAAAGGGATATGAGAAGGGAGCCGCATTAGGTATGTTTGCAGCAAGATAGCGCAGAGCGCCGCTAACAGAGTGGCTAGGGCTCCCAGATCAGTTCCGAACGACAGACGAGACACTCCGCTGGCGCGATGTTGACTTTGTCAACATGACGGGTGGCATAGCCGTCCGCGTCACCTTCAGATACACCAAGGGGTACAGGAACCCGAACCTGGAGGGTTCAAAGGAGGCGGGCTCCGCCCGAACCTTCTTGTTCTTACCCTCAATGGCTGAACGCCTCGAGTTTGACCTCCCCATCGTATTATTTGGGATCGCATACGAGAGGGGCCTATTCGTGCAATCACTCGAAGAGATACTGCACCAAGAGAGCGACAATGTCTTTCTCGAGAAGAGCGAGGAAGTCAATGAACAGGCCGTAAGATACAGCTGGAAAGCTCTTTTGGTATGGCACTTGGTCTGACAATAGAAACAGGTCTTCATTGCTGCGACACAGTCAGGCAAGTTGGATCCTCAGAAGCCAATGACGATACAGGCTTTGAATCCCAAGCTCCAGCAGCTCTGCACCGCCATCGGCCTCATCGAGCGAAACACGTATTACTCCCTCCGCAGAACCGCTATCATCGAGACGCGACGGCACCACAACACCGAGGCCGCGAAGGACCTAGCGTTCCATGTCGGAAACGCGAATAGTTTATTCTATTACGATAACGTGGGATTTGGCGACCTGGACATGCAGAGCTACCGATTCGGTGGCCCGGGAAGCATGAACAGAGATGATATTAGGAAGTACTTCTCACAATCAAACATCTCGCGTTGGCAACCGTCCGGAGATGAAGCCGTCACGTTGAAACAAGCGATTGAGCAAAAGACCAGGGACCAGCTCTCGGATGACCACAGATATATTGACCAGGAACAAGCGCTCAAGGCCCTGTACGACGACGTCAAGGGTAAGCTGCAATCAATGCAGCATACCGGACAGATACCGCAGGACATCAACATCCCAACGGGGTACGGATCACGGGACGGAGCAAAATACATGGCCATTGCGTCACAATACGAGGTTCACGAGAGCGTCCGTGCAATGGAAACAATGCTGGCCGCCCGCAAATCGCTATACAGAGCCATTAGGCTTGAGATCCGGAAGATGGCCGGCGAGGAAGTCCGACAGCAACACCGGGCTGTATTGACCGGGAGTCAGAAGCAGGCCCAGAAGACATCGATCGAAAGCCCTTTCCAGCCTGAAGCTGTAGCGAAAGAGCCTGGGTTCCTCGATGAGGAGGAGGGCTCGATCATAATGGACGAAGACGAGAGCGGTGGCGTAGACGAAGACGTGCTTGAGAACGCTGAGATGAACTCGCGAGAAGAGCCTGAATGCTGGCAAGGGTGAGTCATCAAGTCATGACGACGCAAAAGCCCTTTTCAAGCTGACTCCGCCATGTAGACTTCAACCAGTGGTGCAGATACAGCTCGGCAATGGCGACACTTCGGCTCGCACTTTGCAGATACGACGCGATTTTCTCATGAAATGGATAGGCCATGTAAGTACCATGCCTTGCCGACCTTTACACTATACAGACATACTGACTGGGACCATAGAAAGATAGTGTGGTCGCACAGTCCAACCTAACATGTCCGCTATGTCAGGTGGATATAACCATGGATGAAAAAGCAAAGAACAGGAAATTCACCCTATTCAGGCTGAACACCCACCTCAGGGGTTCCACCCACAGCCGCGAAACCGAACTACGAAGAGCGCTGAAAAACGACGGCAAAGACAAAACAAGCCTGATCGCCTGTCCAGTATGCAAGCTACTCGTCAAGGGTACTAGAATGTTTGTAAAACACATCAAGTAAGCCATGAAAACCCCTTTTGCCAACGTCGTACTAACTTCATCCTTTCCAGGACTGACCACACAGATCAGCTATGGGAGGACCTAGAAGATGAGAGTGAGGAAGAGGAGGTGTTGACATCGGAGTTCGAGGGCTTCAGCGACGCTGAGGACGAACAACGGAACGCTATGACTGGCGTGGAGTAGCAAGGTATCTCCTCACCTGGATGAATTGTAGGAGTGCAACGGCACAAGATTCAACACGCCCTTGCTTGCCTGCGGTCTCGAACGGCTTAGCCGATAGGCTTGGGCTCATCACCAGGCTGCCAAGCCCGAGAGCAGACGTATGTTTCCATAATGCAATGATCAGGCGTCATATTCTACCACAAGATACGTAACAAACTATTATATCCACCGTATCTATGCCTCTACATGAAATCTATGGCCCAGGAAGATCTCATACCACCTCTTCCGGAAGCTTCCCAGGCTTGTAAAGTAGATCAACTCATAAGCGATGAGCGCGGCTAAGCTCAGTAACACAACGCGGTTGAATATGAATCTCGCCAGCGTAAACCCCAGATGCCTCAACATGCCATACCACACAGCCACCATGCCGAGGAAGTGCAGGGAAGCTTCTAGACATACGAGCTCTCCTACTCTCCCATGGAAGATGTTCAGACTCTCATACGAATATCCCGTCAGCAACTTTATCGGCTGGTTCTTCGCAGCGAGGAGGTATAGGAGGGGTAGATTCGTGATGAAGATGATTCTGCAGCGGTCGGCGAAGACGAAGAGGTACACGAAGGAGAGCGGCATGCGGTAGAAGTTGTAGAAGATATTCAGGCCAACCCAAGCAAGGACGAGCAGCGAGACGGCGTTGGTAGGCAGAGTTTTGCTGACAACAGGTATAGGTCGAGGTTGATATTGCAGCGCGGGCTTGAGCATGTAGTAAGGACGCCATACTACAGACCTTGTCACGCGTCGGGGTCGCTGCGAAGGAAGAAGAGGGCTCGTTTCATCGGCATCGTGTATTTTCTTAGCGGCGGCGTTATCGGGGGGCGTCGCATTGCCTTGAATAGTACTGCTCGAGCTACTCCAGGCCTCTGCCTCTTCTTCATGCGCCGTCTCATCATCCCCCTTGGTTGTACTGACTATGCGCCTCTTCCGCCGGTGCAGCACGATCTTCTCGCCCCAATGCCACACAGTGAAGACCACCAGCACGCCCAACAGGACCAAGCTGTATGTGTTCAGAACCCTCCGACTGAACAGTATGGCTTCGACGAGTCTGCGGAACCGCGGGTCTTTGCCAGGGTCATCCGGATCGACAAGGTCGCCTTCGCCGGCAGCGTTGAAGGCGTCGTAGTCGTGCGCCCACCAGGGGGCTTCAGTCGATGCTGTCGCTGTTAGAGCGAAGCGGAGGGCGTCGCGTAACCATGGTGGTGTCGCTTCCATGGTGAGAGTTGGGCATGTCGAGAGGAGGATGTCTAGGAGAGTAGCGGCATGTCAGATGGATAGTGTTCCAGAGTTTCCCCACATGTACTCGCGTCATCTCACGCGCGTGCGTGCGCGGGTTGTCAGGTGCTGCCGATAAGCTTATCGGGTGCTGCCGAGGCCCGCGTAGTTTCATTGAGATGCGATGCCATTCCATGGCGAAAGTGATGAAATTGGTGTCGCTATTCTCTAGTACGCATGCCAGAATGGTATCGAAGAACTAGTGCGTAGCTCAGCCCATCTATGATTGCTAAACCAGGTTCGCTATCCTGCGTCACACAGCTCTTCGTAGAAACCGCATACACTAACAAATGTGTTCAAGGCGAATTCATTCATCCGCTCCCTTTGATCTATCTCTAACATCTATTTGTTCGTCCACTTGGCCTGCTCCTTCGCCGCAAAAGCAGCCATACCAATCTTCTGATCCTGGCTTCCAAACAGACCATGGAACACTCTCCTCTCATACTCGACACCCTCCCTGATACCGAGCTCCTGGCTCTTGTTCACAACCTCCTTGGCTGCCTTGACAGCAATCTGGCTGTACCCTGCAATCTTCTCCGCGGTCTTGATCGCACCGCTAACACACTCCTCGGGTGTCTCGAACACCTTGGCGACAAGGCCCCAGTCGCTTGCTTGTTGTGCGGTGATGTTGTCGCCAGTGAGGATGACCTCCATGGCTCTTGACTTTCCAATTGCCTTGGTCAGGCGCTGCGAGCCACCTGCACCGGGTATGACACCTAGCTTGATCTCGGGTTGTCCGAAGACAGCCTTGGGTCCGGCGTACATGATGTCTCCCATCATGGCGAGCTCACAACCTCCACCTAGCGCGTATCCGTTGACGGCGGTGATGAGCGGCTTCTTGAGGAATGTGATGAGGTCGGACCAGGACTCTATGAAGTCTTTGCCGTATGCGTCGCTGAAGGTGAGATCCTTCATCTCTTTGATGTCGGCACCGGCTGCGAATGCCTTTTCCGATCCGGTGAGGACGATGGCGCCGATGGATTTTGAGGCTTGGAAGTCGCGGAGGGCTTGGTTGATCTCGAGGATGAGGGGAGTGGAGAGGGCGTTGAGAGCTTTGGGGCGGTTGATCTGGACTGCGGGTTGTTAGTCCAGGCTCATCTCTCTAGGGGTATATGAAGATGATTATTAAAGAGAAAAGCAACATACTCAAACCAACACCAGGTCTGGCCACCGATACAAGCAAATGCTCGAATGACCTCTCCGTCGCATATCCCCTCGCAAGTCTGGGTAGACCCGTTGACCGGAATTGAGAGGCGACTCTCGGTGTTGATCGTAATGCCTGCATATTGAGTGTGTAGAATTGAACTTTGACTACGAGTCCAGCTCAGGCAACATGTGTTTACATCGAAAGAGAGCAGATGAGCTCAGAGCTCCAACAAGTGGGTAGCATCGGCACCTCGGTAAAGGCGCGCCCGCCAAAACATGCCCGTACCAACATCCCACTTCGACGCGACTAGCGGCCCTCGCTACCTTGGTCCTAGCGCGTTCTGGGCGGGCGCCGGCGATCTAAGCCCCAGCCTTGCGACGCATCTCAACTTTTTGACACGATTCCCTCAACAAGCCGTCGCCTCCGCATTCACCCACCCACGCCTTCCTACGCGGCGCACCTACTTCACCCATCCGCCATCACCACACACCCTCCCACCCCCGCCGCGACGCAACCATGGACTCGCCCGAGCCCGATACCCCTTTCAGCGCCGTCACAGCACAAACAACCAAGTACGGGCGCCTGTTCCAGACGTACCTCGACAAGTCAACGCCCTACACACCCTACCGATGGGGCGGCACAGCGACGCTCTTCCTGCTCTTCGGCCTGCGCATCTTCTTCGCCCAGGGCTGGTACATTGTCGCATACTCGCTCGGCATCTACCTGCTGAACCTCTTCCTCGCCTTCCTGTCCCCCAAATTCGACCCCGCGCTCGAGCAAGATGAGGGCATGGAGGACGGCAATGCGAGCGGCTTGCCCACCAAGGAGGACCAGGAGTTTAGGCCATTCGTCCGCAGGCTGCCCGAGTTCAAGTTCTGGTACTCGACTACCAAGGCGATTGCTATTGGCTTTTTCTGCAGCTGGTTTGAGATTTTCAACTTGCCCGTCTTCTGGCCCGTGTTGGTCGTTTACTGGTTGATTCTTTTTGGCTTGACGAGTAAGTTGATTCTGGGATGTGCGCATGAGTTCTAGGCTGACTTTATGACAGTGCGACGACAGATTCAACACATGATCAAGTACCGCTACGTCCCTTTCACCGTCGGAAAGACTCGGTACCAGAACGCCAACTAGGCCGGGTCGATCGACCGACCGTCTGCTTTCACTTCGTCGGATAACGGTCTGGAACTTTGGGAAGGTTGCCATCAACGGCTGTTTTTGGGCATGGGCGTCTTTTTCCGGTCCGCAATAGACTTCGAGCTTCATACTTCGCAACTCGGGGTTGCTCTAGGGAGGGGGTGCTGCCACGATAACGCGTTGGATGTTATATCATGTGTACACGTAGCAGGAAAGCCAATAAGCTTATATCTTTAATATCAGGACAATGTACTATGTACGCGTGCACAGGTGAACATATGTGCAAAGAGAGGATTCTAGGTATCTGGCAACAACTACTGATGTGGAAAACAGCTTTGGGACAAGGAAAAGAACGACAAGCAGCCACCGATGCTACAAGACAAGGCAATCAAAAGAAAGAGACGAAGGAAATCCTTACTCCATACGCAAAGCAGGAGCCTCAAGCTTCAACTCCGCCAAACTCGTCTTCCGCAAGCCCACCTTGACATCCTCGCGCTCAATCCCCATCTCCTTTGTGCAAATCCACGTAGACGCATACATGTTAACCCTACATTCATTAGTTAGTAAGTACGTCTTCACGACATCCAAGAGGCAACATACCGATCAATACAGCTCCCCGGCACCCTCACAGCCACCCTCTTAACCGCAAACCCATACTCGCCAAACACCTTGATATACCACGGTTCCAACCCCGCAGACCGGAGCATAACCCGTCCTTTTACTTTCAACGCGCGGTTCAGCGCCCGGATCTGTTTGAGTGCTTGTTGGCCGGACGGTGGGAACCAATCCATGCTATCCATCACCACGACAATGGTTAGTGTACCGGGTCGCATTCTAGCAATGACCTCTGAGATCTCGTCTGTGTGGATGCGAAGACCGTTGAACGCGTTGGGCTTGCTGAGTTTGATGTGCGATTTCGGAGAGAGGTATGTGGGGTGGGATGTTGGTGTGTAGTGGCCCAGGAGGGTGAGGAGGTAATAGTGGTTTGATGTGGAGAGGAGAGTGGTGTTGATGACGGGCTCGAAAGTGTTGAGTACGTATTCATAGATCGCGTTCCCAGAATTCGATTTGAGTGCTTCGTCGGACGGCTCTTCGTGGAACGCCATGTAGTCTGCCGCTGCATCCGATTTAGCCACCGCCGGTGTCTTGGTCTCGTCAAAGTCGTCGGTTTTCTTGAAATCAGCTTCGATGACGGCGCGTTGGGCAGGGGGCACGCCGAGTGCTTTCCAGAGCCACTTTTCGTTGCCGAGGATGGCCCAGGTGAGGATCCTGGAGTGCAGCACGGTCTTGATGGAGCTTTGCCAGATTTCCCGTTGTTCGTTCAAAGTGGATGCTGTGCAGAGTTTCTTGACGTCCGAGGTCATGCCTAGGAGGTGGAAGAGCCAGCCTGCGATTGAGAGGGCGTTGCCGGAGCCGCCGGAGTAGTAGAGGCCTTTTGACGAGGAAGAAGAGAACACTGAAGGCCCGTTGTGCAGCCAGAATTGGAAGGCTTCGGATGAGAGGTGCGGGCTGAGCTTCTGGATTAGGAGGTTGTGGAAGTCGGGGTGCTTGCCTTCGCCGAAGAGCTTCCAGACGTCTTGGTAGGGGAGCGCGGTGAAGGCGGCGACTTTGAGCTCGAGGAGGTGGTTTTGCGAGGGGTTGAGGTCGACGGCGTGGACGCGACGGCAGTTCTCGAGACAGAAGGCGAGGATGTTGTCGCCCGCTGAGCCGATTGCTAGCACGACGTCGTTGGAGGTTGGCTTGAGGAGGCGCATGTCTGCTACGTCGTCTTCCCAGGTGAATGCGTAGATGTATGAGTCGTTGAATCGAGTGTGCTGTCAAGCTGTCAGCACGAATAGTAAGATGTCTCAGCACCGCGTTGGCAAATCATCGCAAGGGAGCTACATACTAGTGATAAGTTAGCAAGACATCTTGAGAGCTATTCGTGACCGCTAACTAACCCTTAGGCAGAGAGGAGTCGTAGTGGATGCGCCAGTGGTGGTTCTGGTACCATGTTGCCGGGAGTGGGAGGCTGGATTGTAGGTTCACCACTGCCGACTCGTAGGCCTTTGAGTGGACTTCGACGTCAGTCTGCGTAGCTCCTGTTTGGAGATCAAGAGCTGTGAGGTAAGGCGATTCAGTAGCAGCGGCATCGATCTCAGCGAGCTTCTGTGTGGATGCGCCATGGTCTTTTGAGCAACCGAGCCAGATGAAGTAGGGGAGCTTGATACCGGTGCCGAAGAAGTTGTTGCGAGCGTTGATACTAAGGACCGTGCCAAACCGGTACTCAAGATAGTCCTAGACGAGGTCAGGAGTTGTGCTTGTACCGCAAGAATGTGACATACTCGTCGCGCAGGCTCAAGATTAACACGGTCAATCTCAAACCATGTCCGCCAGAACACACGCGAAATCCACATGCAGTGACGATCAATAGCACCACCCATGTAGTTCCTACCCATGAAGTCGACCTGGTTCTGCACGTAAAAGTCGACAACACCGATGACGCCGTTGGGGCTCATCAAGCTATCGATTGAGTCGATGACAGGGTAGAACTCGGGGATCATGCTGAGAGCATAGCTCATAGTGACAAGCTCAGCACCACCAGCATCCGCGTTCTCGTCGAGGTCGCGAACAGTTTGCTCTTTGGAGATCATTTCCTTGCGTTCGTATGCTTGCGGTTCGTGTTCGTGAAGACGGAAGGCGCGCGCATCCTGGCAGATGACCTTTACGTTCGTCCAGCCGAGACGGGCGAACCTTTTCCGGGCCATCTCGCAGAGAGAGGGGGAGAGGTCGACGACATCTGCATGTGTTAGAAAAGCTTTGTGAGTTGATTCTTTCAGACTTACAGACTGCGCGAAAGAAGCTTGCCACTGGAACGAAGGTGTTCATCTGTTCAACACTGGTACTTCGTCAGCAAGGCAATATTGGTACTGGATACTGTGTACTTACTTGTGACCAGTTCCTCCACCAATCTGAGATCATTAGCACATCGACCATCATCCAAGCCTACTGTCACGTACATCAACCCAGACTGGTCGTTGCGAGATTAGGCCCGCTTCGGTTCGGTGCTTCAGCTGTGCAGCGACCAGTCCCAGCATATCCTCACGGCCCCGAAGAAGCTTGAGCCGGGTGGCATCGTAGACGTCGGCTTGAGCTTTGTAGAAGCTTTCCTGTTCATTCCATGAGACAAGCCCCGAGTTTTGTACCTTCTTCAAACGTACCAGAGCATCCTGCTGACTTCCAGATCCGTCTCCAGTATGAGGCTTCAAGAAGCACCCATAGATGAACTTGAGGTAAGCTTCGAACGTACTCGGCGCCTGATCTTTGCTCTTCGGCCTGAACGCAAGAGCAAATACCACAGTAAGAAACACACCGACGAGGCACAGCGTAACCGTAAGTTGGTGAAACGGGTCACTTGGAACAAAACTTGAGAGAGCCTGCATAGCTGCGACTTCACAACAAGACAGTAGAAGCAATGAACAAGAGAGGAGAGGGAGGGGGGAACGACAACAAAACAAAAGAAACCCCACAAACACCATGGAGGGGTTATATGAGCCCTCATTCCGAGTCCCTCAAGCATCATTCCGACTTCGGTTCGGTCATCATACATACCCGCATGCCCCAATAGACAAGGTCACCCCGCTGCACAGCCTGGCGTACGGCTTCGTCCTCGTGTCTCGCGTCACCTAGCAGCCAATGACCCTCACCACATGTTCTGAAGATCGCTCAAACAGCGCCCAGACAGCCTACCAGAGTAACCTACCTACCTTACTATCAGCATTACGGAACTGCCCTGAGTAGACTACCGCACCACCGCTAGAGGCGGCTATGCAGGGTCCTAATAGAACCGAAAGTATCTCCAGATCTTGAATAGCAAGAGTCTAGAGAGGGAACAAAGACGTCAGTTCGACCTATCGGATGGAGGTGTTGTTGCGCGTGGGTGAGACGTGCCTGGCATGTTGGTGTTGAGACGGGGATGGTTGAGGTTGCGCTTGGTGGGGTCGGCGGCCAATCAGAGGGGAGGAGGGAGGGCGTGCCAGAATGCAGGGACGTCGAACGCATGGAAGGAGCGCGATGGTGGCTCGGCGTTGTTTCCTACATGCAAGTCACTTTGAGTTATCGGGTGCGAGTGATGATCCCGGACGATGTCGGCAGCTGCCAGCCTTGCGCAGGAGGGTTGGCTAGGTGTGAGATGTGAGGACGCAGCAGACACTCCGGCGAACCACCTTGAAGGTATTGCAATCATCCTGTATATTTGAGTAAATCTTCAGTGACCATCCTGAATCAAGAATAGGCCACAGTCTAACTTGAAGCCTCATTCTCTTCGCTATGCGTGAGACTTGAGGCGCGGCTATACCACTGGATCTGTATCAGTATTCCAAGGTCGAGGTAAACATACTGTATGATGTCTGAGTATCTCGACGCCATGTGCTGTTCACGCTATATTCAAATCATCTCACAACAAATAACTAAAATCCGACCCTTGTTGTTCATAATCGTCATTTCCGCTATGGTACTATGCTGAAGGTCTAAGTATTATTACAAGCCCGGCATGAGAGTGCACGCATGCAAGCGGCTACACCACCAACAAACTACACTTTAGGCGTAGAAGTTGACTGTGTCCTTCTTCTTTGCCTGTACCTCAGCGATAGCATCGACGTAGTGCTCGTGACTGATCTTCTGGTGACCGGTCCGGAGAGCAATCATACCAGCCTCGACACAAACAGCCTTCAACTGCGCACCACCGAACTCGTCAGTGCTGCGAGCCAACTCTTGCCAGTTGACGGCGTCGTCGACAGTCATCTTCCGCGAGTGGATACGCATAATCTGTGCGCGGGCCTCCTCATTTGGTAGCGGGAACTCGATCTTCCTGTCCAGACGTCCAGAACGAAGCAGAGCGGGGTCCAAGACATCGACTCGGTTCGTCGCGGCAAGAACCTTGACACGGTCATCGGAGGCGAAACCGTCCAGCTGGTTCAGCAGCTCCAACATGGTTCGCTGCACCTCCCTGTCTCCGGACTTCTCGGAATCGAAACGCTTTGTGCCAACGGCATCCAATTCGTCGATGAAGATGATTGAGGGTGCCTTCTCTTTCGCCAGGGCAAAGCAGTCACGGACCAACTTCGCACCATCTCCAATGAACATTTGTACGAGCTGTGGGCCGGCGAGCTTGAGGAATGTGGCATCGGTTTGGGCAGCGCAGGCTCGGGCGAGAAGGGTCTTTCCGGTTCCGGGAGGACCGTACATCAGTGCACCTACGATCGTTAGCACATGTCTAGAGATGAGCGTTAGAGTTGCTTACCCTTCGGCGCCTTGATGCCAATCTTCTTGAAACGCTCGGCCTCCTTCATGGGCCATACTACCGCCTCAACGAGCTCTTCAATTTGCTTGTCAAGACCTCCAACATCGGTGTACTTCTCAGTTGGCTTCTCGTCGACTTCCATAGCCTTCACCCGACTGTCGTACTCTGCGGGTAGGGTATCGAGGACGAGATATGAGTCCTTATTCACACCAATGAGATCACCGGGCTTCAGCTTCTCATGGTCTACTAGACCGATGAGAGGCAAGAAGATGGTCTGCCGAGTTGAGGTCTTGATGACCGCCGACTTGCCCACGCGGGTGGCGTCTAGGTCAATGTTTGCTCCTTCCTCGGCGGCCTCTTCGGTGACGTCCAGATCGAGAATCTCGACAACGTTTCCGACGAGGTATGGTAGTTGCCTACAAGATGTCAGTGTGTTGTCCACGAAGCCGCGTCAGTCCAGCGCGCTGCGGGGTGACAGCAATCACGTCAATGACATACCTGTTGTTCTCGATCTTCTCTAGGTTGTCCTTGATCTTCTCGTTCATAGAAGCCTTCTCGTGTGTGAGCCGTTGGAACTCGCTCTTCATGATGCGCATGTCGTTCTCCAGTAACCGCTTGCGCGCGACGATGTCTCGTGTGCTTGAATTCAGGATCTCTTCGTCGAGCTGCTCCTCCTCTGGTTCCGCATCCTGCATCTCTGCATCGCCATCAGCCTTCTTTCCGTCCTTGCCTCCGTCTTTCTTGTCATCGTCCTTGTTCTCTTCCTTCTCGTGGCGCTCAAGGTCGTCGAGATCTTCGAGTGTGGACATGGTGGCGGTGTTGTGAGAGCGACGTTACGCGGTGTGGGATGATAGAGATGACTGGGTCGGTGCAAGAGTGATGGTGGTGAATGACGCCGACAAAGAGGTTGTTGTGGTGCGGCGGTGATGTGGAGCTGTAGAGGCAGCTACGGATTACGAAGGTACGCACCCGTGCACGGTGAGAGACCCTAGCTCCGGTTGTCTTGGCGTCTGGGAACGCCGATCCGTCGCGCGCAACAACGCGCGATAGATGGGAAGTGTCATTCTGTTAGTCTGCAGCTTGATCAAGGAAACGGCGATGCTACTAGAGGGTAAATTTAGATATCATGCAGTTCTATACGAAAGGAGCTGTGCGAACACCCGCCCGCAGGTATAGACAAGATTCAACACGTGTGATTAGTACGATGATGCTGAGTAGGTTCAGTTTGCTGTGCAATAATAATAGTGTTTAATAGAGATGTTTTATGTAAAGATAAAGGTAATCGCACAGCTACCTAAGAAAACATTAAACAGCCTAGAGCCTACAGTAATGTTAGGTTACTACTTTGTAAGTTTTTATCCTAATGTAGTCTGCAGACCTGTTTAGTTTTTTTCTTCTATGTAGTGATCGTACTGGTGAGGGAAACAGGAAGCAACTGCGATGGGCTGTTAGGTACACACCATTTCGTGTGCGTCAAAGCCGCAAAACCTCCGCGATATAAGCGTTTTGGTTTCCAAAATCTTCATCCGTTCCTCTCAAACGAGGCAACAGCGCAGAGTGGGGGGCGCTTTTCTTTCAGTAAGGCAGTCTTCTCGAGTTCCCCAAAAAAAATTAGCCACAGGTCTTTTAACATACCATCGCTGCATCAATATGGTTCTGCAGACGGCGCAAGAATTTCCCGGGGCAAAAAAGAACTTCGACACCAGCGAGACTCGAACTCGCAATCTTTGCCACCGGAAAGCAACGCCTTACCATTAGGCCATGGTGCCATACGTTGTTCTTCATGGAACTCTGTCAAATGGTGCTGTATATATCGGTATTGTGACGGCGGTACTGTACTGACGGACTCGCGGTGTAGCCAAGTTTCCAGATTTAACCTTGCACAGTGATAGTTCCGCTGAAAGCAGGGGTCTTCTCAATCGACAAGGCACGACTGGAACTTAATATAAGAGCTCCACAATTCCACGAAACTACACAACTAAACCATGTTCGAGCAAAACGACCAAGCACATAGACAGATTCTAACAATATTGTTAGGAAGCTATCGCCTAAGCTAGAGAAGAAGAATTCCCAAAGTTGTCTAACGGCTGTTAGAACGTGATCAGAACCGCCACAAGCGTCCACCTCGAGAAGACTGGGACGGAGCTGCCTCGACGGCCCCTACGGCTCATCCCACGCCCTCGACCTTTTAGAATCCTCCTCAACAGCCATCCTCATCGCAGGCGGATCCGGGATAGCAGTCGCGTACCCCCTCCTCTACGCCCTTTTGCAACCCTCCTCCACCGACCCCGAACCCACGCTCAGATCCCAGAGAAAAGTAAAGTTACTCTGGATAACGCATTCACTCGACCACCGTCTCTGGATCCCAGAGGATAAACTAAAGGAATTAGAGGATTGGGGTTTAGATGTGCTCATCACGCCGCCGACGACACTTGCAGGCCGACCGGATGCTGGTGGTATTGTGAAAGAGTGGGTTGAAGAGGAGGATGTACATGGGAATACGAGGACTGGTGTTGTAGTTAGCGGACCTGATGGGCTGGTCATGGATGTAAGGAATACATGTGCGGAGTTGATTTGGAGCGGGAGGGATGTCGATGTTCAGGTTGAGAAGTTTGGGTGGTGAATATCTTTCATTTCGGCAACATATCTGGAGTTGGATGGCTTTTTTTTGGTTCTCTGGAGTTTGTGATAGACAGGGTTGGGTGGGAATTTTGCCTTTGCTTTTGCTTCTGCTGGTGTCTTCACATTCGCTGTAGCGATTTCTTTTTGGTAAGAAGGGAAGAAAGCGCTTTGGGAGGATGAAGGTGGCGATGGGTATGCCATATCCGAGTATTGGCTAGGTGGACGCTTATGACGGTTCTGATGACAAAATGATCATTTGATCATTCACATGTTTCAAATGATCATTGTGTCATCAGAACAGTCATAAGCGTCCACCTCGAGCAGACTGGGATGGTGACTGATGGTGACTAACCCTATACCTTCGTACGATCCAATCCACTTGGTTGCTTGGGTGGGCAACCACGTGGATTGAATCGTACGAAGGTATCAGCTTCAACGCAGTCTACTCGTAGTGAATACTCGGGCATAGCATTGAAATTACAAGACCTAGCTATCTTCCGTGTTAAAGACCTATCGGGCAAAACTATCTCATCTATCTTTATACCAACGTTTCCTCACCAAATGCTAATACCTGTCCCCTAAGTTTGCGATAGACTGGCACGTCAGCCTAGGAGAAAATTAAACACCCTGGAGCCTACATTAAGATAAAAACATACAAACTAGGCGGTCTAAGATCAACGTAGGCTCTAGGCTGTTCAGTTTTTTTATTGTATGAGTTGCTGGGTGGGTAGGAGTTCTGCTTCGCGCTTGTTGTCTGGTCTTGACACATCCGCTTTGGCGGTCACCTGTGAGAAAGACAGAGAGAGAGAGCATTTGGGGGATGACAGTGGTGATGAGTAGCCATGTCCGAGTGTCCATTCGGTGTCCGGTTCCATTAGAGGCAGACGGTGTGCCTTCACCGCTTGATTTGTCAAGTGAGGGATTTCCGACGAAGTGCTATATCCCTCACTTGAC